TTTTTTTTTTTATGGTGTTCTTGGCTTCTTCATTCCATACAATTTTCTGTGCTGAACTCATTGTTTATGAATTGTCTTATTATTTCCTTCGTTGCTGTTGTTTTAGCATTTGCTAAATATTTGTGCTTGTCTTCTTTTTTATTATGATGTGAAGGTTTATCATTTTTATTTGAGGATACACTGTGATTTGTCAATTTCTCCTCAAGTTTAGAACAGCCCATTCTATCTTGCAACTCTCTTGACTTCCTCACCATTTAGAAGTTCTGTAATTACACTTTTTTTTTTTTTTTTTAAACCATGTTTTGGTTGTAGTTGTCCTCATTTGTCAATTGATGTCTCAGGTTCCCTGTTTACAATCTTGTAAGCTTATTTTGCTTTGGATACTTTCATAACTGGGTTGCTTTCTGTGTTATGTCATCATGTATATTAATGGTTGGTTGTTTTTTGCTATCATTCGTTCTCTGTCCAAAGGACTCCCTTTAGTATCTCTTGTAAGGTTGGTCTGGTTTTAACAAATTCCCTTAATTTCTGCTTATCTGGAAATCTCCTCATTTCACCATCATACCTGAGGGACAATTTTGCCAGGTATATAAATCTTAGTTGGAAACTTTTCTCTTTCGGGGTTTTATATTTACCCTTCCATTACCTTCTCACTTGCGTGGTTTCTGCTGAGAAATCAGACCTTATTCTTATTGATTGTCCTTTGTAGACAGCTTTTCATATTTCCCATGCTGCTTTCATGATTCTTTCTTTGTCTTTGGTTTTGGTGAGTTTGATGATATATCTTGATAATTTTCTTTTGGGATCTCTGTTTGGGGTTCATTGGACTTCCTGAATGGATATATTCTCATCTTTCATCATATCAAGGAAGTTTTCTTCCAACAAATCTTGGACAATTTCCTCAATGATTTTCTTTTTCTCTTCCTGTTCTGGAATTCTGTCTGATTACACAAAGGTTATTCCTTTTGATGGTATCCCACATGAACCTTAGGTTTTCTTCGTTTTGTTTTGATCCTTTTTCTGTTGATCCCTTTTGATAGAAGTATTCAGGTATTTGTCCTCAATCTCATTAATTCTGTCTTCCATTGTTTCAATTCTACTCCTTTGCCCTTTCAATGTGTTATTTATTTCTGAACATTTAGTATTAATCTTCTGGATTTCTATCTGTAGAGTTTGTATCATTTAAAATTTTTCATTTATTTTGTCATTTTGTTCTGTATTTTCTTCTAAAATTGTTGTAGGGTTTTTGTCGATGTTTTACTTAATTTTGTCAGTGTTTTCCTTGCTATGTCTCTCACTCTTTAAAAGGTACTTAATATAATTCTTTTGAATTCCTTTTCAGGGAGTTCCAATGCTGCTTCTTCCTCAGGAATGTGTTCTGGGTCTGTATCCTGCTCCTTTGTTTCTACTGCTTTATCTTGCTTCATTGTATGAACTGTGAAGGTCTGTTTTCTCTGAGACATTGTGACTTTGTTGTATTTATACTTAATTTGTGGTTGTAGGTTGGAGTGGTTTGCCCAAGATTTTCATTTTCTTTGTTTTTCAGGGGGTGTATCTGAGTAAGCAGGGTACTGTGCTCCTCTATTCACTAGTTGGCAGCACTTAGTCACTCACGACCTGTCTCTTGCTAGGGGTGATGGAGAATGAGAGTGGCTGCACAGATCTCTGTTAAATGTTTTGAAGAGCAGTTAAGGGTGAGTCAGGCTCTTATTGGTGGTTGTGTATCATTGGCTAGTTGTTGTAGAAGGAAGTGGTGACTGTCTCTCAGTAAGTGGGGCTTCAAGAGATGAAGGTGTGGTTTGGTCATATGGGTACAGTTGCTGTCTCCCACTCAGTTAGACAAAGACAACAATTGAAAAAACATCAAAAAATTAAAAGCATGAAGACAAAAAAACACACACCACATAAACACACAGGAAGAATCACCAATAAGAGGATAAAGAGGAAAAAAAAAAAGGAAAAGCAATAAATGAGAGAAAGATTTTAAAGAAATACTTTAAATAACAAAGAGAAATATGAATAGAAAAAGGGAAGAAAAAAAAAAAACCTGGAATATCTGGGGAGGGGGAATAAGAGAAAAGACTAGGAGAATAATGAAGAAAAAAGATGGGTAAATGCAAAAAGAAAAACAAGGAATGAGGAGAAACACTAGAAAGGAAAATAATGGCCACCAGGCAAAGGGAAGAGAGAAAAAGCCAAAAACTAGAACCTGGGAAGGGAGTAAGAAAAATAATAATAAAAAGGATGAAGAAAATAATAATAATTGTAAAATAGACAAGAACAAACAAAGTAAAAAATAAATAAGTAAATAAATAAATAATCTGAGCAGGGTGGGGCAGGAGACCCAGGCTCTGTCAGCGCACACAGACTTGGATGGAATTCCTGCTGGTTCAAAGGTGGGTGGGAGTATGGGATGACCGCACTTCCATTCACCAAGAGAGTGTGGGGTATAAGAGTAACAAAGGGAATACACTAACTTTCCATTCCTCAGTGTCTGGTATGTCCTTGTAGTCCCTAGCAAGTGGAGCCTATTCTTAGGTCCCTGGAATCTGACAGAACACTGTCACTTTAAATACCCAAAATGATGAAACCACTTGTAAACATTCAAAATGACTGCACCCTGCAGACAGCCAAAAGTCCACAGCTCAACCCATCTCCCTCTTTGCTCCTTTCCCTTTTATTCACCAGCCATCACTGCAGTCCTCTGTGCATCCCCTGGCTAGCAGGGCTGATTTTTAGGTTAATTCTTAGGTATAAGATGGCACATAACAACAACAACAACAACAATACCAGTTAGCAATATCCAAGCTGTCCGTGCCATCAGGATCACTGACATTCTACAGCTCCATGTGTCTCCTTTATTGATGTTTTCTTGCAGGTTCATCTACTATTTGGAGTTTAGTCCACTTCTATATTCTTCCCTTCAAATCTCACGAGTCCAGGATTATCTTCTGTATCTGTGCTAACTGGTTCCGCTTTTCTTTGCTGAAGAGGATTTGTGTAGTTTTTCTGTCTATTCTAACATCTTATCAGAACTCAGTCTTTTCCAGAACTTTTTGCAAAATTGTCTTAGTACTATTTTTGTAGTGTGTGTGTGTGTGTGTGTGTGTGTGTATACTAATACTTTAAGGAGCTCTGGTGGTGTAGTGCCTAAGGCATTTGACTGCAGACCAGATGGCTGGTGGTTCAAACTCACCAACCACTCCTTGGAAGGAAGGTTGGACAACAATCTACTTCCATAGTGATACAACCTCAGAAACCGAAGGATGGGTCACTATGAGTCAGGTCCAACTCTACAGCACATAACAATAACAACAACATGGTTAAGTTATTTTACCACTCTGAACTCATTTTCACATCTTTGAAATGAATATAACAGTATGTATCTTAGAGAGGGGTTGTATGATTAGAGAATACATGAAAAGTGCCTTTATTGGTGTTCTTGTTATTTGTCATCACCCAAAACTCGAAATCCTGCAATTTGTTATTCTGATTGTAACCTCTTTTTTTTCTTCTGGACCTAATTGAATCAACTATTTCCCTACCCCCTCCCTCTTATTTCAAATCTCATCTAAACTTCTTTCTTTCTCTGGTTGTTCTCATAATTTTTACCTATCCATATTTTTAGCTAAAACATATAATGTCTCTTCTTTTGTCCTCTGCTTAAGCATAAAATGGCCCATTTTAAACTTTTGATCATTTCCCTCCCCAGTTCTGACCATCTTCTTGTCTCCCAGCATCTTCCTCCATAGCTCAGTTAGTGGTGTCATGGTGTCATCATCAACTCAATTGATCAGGCAAAAAAGGAAAAAAAAAAAAAAAAAGAGTTCCTTCCAAACTATGTCATACAACTGACCACTCTCACCCCCTCCAGTGTTACCTCCCCAGGCGGAGCCAGCATCAGCTCTCACCAGGATTACTGCAGCTGCACCTTCATTGCCTCTGCGTCCACTCTTACTCCCTCCACCACCCACGCAAGATAAAGTATAAGTCATGTCTGATCACTCCACTGAGTAAAATCCTCAAAAGACTTCCTAACTATACAAGTTACAATATCCAAACATCTTGCTATGACCTTCAGCTGTGATCTCACATCTGTCTACATCTCTTCACTTCGATTCTCTTCATTCCCTCCATCCCAGTCCCACCTGACTTCTTTTTCTCCTTGAATATTTTGTGATCATTCCCATTTTGAGGCATTTGTACTCACTTTCCTGTCTTCCTGGAATTCTCGTCTAAAATTTAGCATGATGTGTCTCATTTTATAGTTTAAATAACTCTAATGTCTCAGAGAGGCTTTCCCTGACCCTTCTGGTTCTCTCCATCCATGTTATTCTTAAGCCAGTACTTCTTTTCAGCACAACTGTGCCATATACAGGAGCTCGGTAGCACTGTTGTTGAAGTATTGGGCTGCTAACCAAAACGTTGGCTGCTTGAATCCACTCTGTAGGAGAAAGATGAGGCAGTCTGTTTCTGTAAAGATTTATGCCCTTGTAAACTCAATAGGGCAGTTCTACCCTGTCCTATAGGATTGCTATGAGTCAGAATCAACTCAGTGGCAGTGCGTTTGCTTTTTGATTTGGTACCATGTAAGTTTAATTTAAAATATTTGTTAACATATTATCAATTTAGTTTCCATAGAATATAACTGAAGCAGGGTGGACACTTTATCTGTCTGGCTTACTGCTGTATTTTAACATCTACAATAATTCCTGATACATAATAGACACTCAATATGTATTTATTGAATTAATGAAGAAATGAATGAAAAGTAACTTGAAGCTAAATAATAATAAAACTTGTGATACATGCTAAATGATATATGTATGTATGTATTTTAAGACATTAAAATGTTTTATTTTTCAGGATTAATTACAGTTCTTCAAAATGTCAGGTAGGTCTTTTGTGAATAAATGTCAAATACGCTTTCAAATGCGAATTAAGTTTCTCTTATCTTGAAGTTATTTGTATTTAACATTAGAAGAATATAGATATATCTATTCACTTATACATGAGAATATTCCTGTCTAACTAAATGGATTAAAATGGATTTACATTGCCTGATATGTACTGAGAGATATATAAATTATGTGGAAAGAAGAAGATAAAGGAAAAATAGGATAGAGAAGTAAGTTTTTCAAAAGGATAACAGAATAAAAATTCTGCCTTTCAAGATGAGGGCTGGTAGGCCCTGCATTTTACCACATTTATGGGGCTTGTGTTTTCTATGATATAAGAGCCAACTTGTTCTTTTGAAAATGCAGAACTATTCCTGCAAAAAGAGTGTGGGGGTGGCATCTGACCTCCTCTAACATCGCAAGGGAGGAGGGGGATAAGCATCAACAGCCCAAGGCTGATTATTGTGAGGCAGAAGTCAGACATGCTGCCACCCTTCAACTTTCCTAGCAATTCTGACATCAACTCTCCCTCCCACTCTACTTCTCTGCTGGGTTCGATAGTTCATTGCAATGGCCGCGTGGAACTCACAGACAATGTTCAGTATTATGGGGTTTATTAGGGAAGTAATGGGTTACAATTAAGGATTAGAAGTGATTCAGGATACAATTCTTTAATCAAGACAGCCTCTCATTAGCAACGCCACCGGCAGGCCTTTCTCTAGCCTCGGCCTCTCAACCTTGCAACCCCTTGGCTTCTGCCCTGCTTGCACAAGTGCTACAAAGCTCTTTTATCTCTGCTGGGTCCCAGAGAGGCACTCCAGTCTGTCACAAACCTCCTACCCAAAGTGACTCAGCTCTCTCACTCTGTAGGCTTGGAAGCCCACTGCATTGTTTCCTGCTGGGTCTGCTGCTAGGTTTACTGCTACCGCTTGTCTGCCACTACTTCTTGCCACCTCAGCAAACTGAAATAGCTCTCTCTGTCTCTTGGGTAGAAGATGTTCAAGGCACAGATCTCAGGTCCAAAGGGCACTCTCCACTCCTGGCTCTTCTTTTTTGAGGATAGTGAGATCCTCCTTTTCCTCTTTTGCCCAGCAAGATGGCAAAGCCAACCAATCTCCATGTTAGTCCATACACCTTACTGGCATGATTACACCCTCACACAGTTGCCATACCCCTTGTTTACATTATTAACAAGCTATCTAATCCCCTTGGTGGGCCACAGACATTTCACATTTGCGTAGTCCCACACAGTCATTAGTGGGAGTTATAAAGACTATAGCTAGAAGTGTCATACCAAACAATTCACTGTAGCACAATTCCTGATACTGAGTCCAGGGAGAAATTTCTCTAATCTCAATGAAAGAATTGGGTGTATTATTATGAAAAGTAACACCACTATCTTCCTTGAAGTAATTACAGTGACCTAGATTTCTTGTACAAAGAATAGGCAAAATATGATTATTTTATTTAGTTGGCAATGCCAACTAGATCATGTCTAATTGCTTTTCAAACCATTAAGTATTTATTGTACTATTATTTGGATTTATTTAGACAGTCATTTCCCAAAAAGGATATGGGAGAAAAATAGGATTTACTCTACATCTGCCTGTTTTATATAACAGAATTAAGATGTTCTGCTATCTAAGAAATTAATTTTTTCAGAAAAAAGTTAACTGAACCACTAGTATGACAGTTCACTTGATCATAAGCACACTATAGTTGCTCAGTTTTATTCTTTAATCTATGTTCGGTCTAAAACTCCATGAAATGAATGAAGAGGTGATGCTTAATACACACAATGTATTGTACATTTTATAAGAAATAAGATAGTTTATTTCATATAGGTTGCATTCATTGATTTATACCAGCAATAAACAAATACATCCGGCTATTATATTATTATGCCCTTTGTAAATCATGTCTGCTTCTGCTCCTCCTCCCCAAGATGTAGTCTCTACAGCTCCTGAACAACCATCCAGTGAAATGGAAAATAAAATAAAGTCACAAGATCCAAGACCTGATGCCCCTCCAGACTACAACTCCCATTTTGTTCCAGGTAGGATAAATATTCAGAATCTCCCCCCACTCCATAAAGCCATACTAATAGTTAAGGTGTCTTGTTTAATTAGCAACTGAGTGGTTTCAATAAATAAATATGGAAAACCTATTGGGTATCAATTATTTATTAGATGCCAGAATAGATTCCTGCCATCCAAGGAGTTACAAGCTCCTGAAGAAGAAAGTTGTGCAAATAATGAGACTTAGTCTACATGTAATTATGGGAATATGAACAAAATTTACAGGCAGAGAAGACCATCACTGACTCTGGCAGGGACTTGAGGGATGCTTTAACTAAGGAACTCAAGTTATTCTGACCTGATACGGAATTTCCCAAACAAAGAAAAGGAGGGGGAAATAAAAAAGTATGTCCCAAAGCACAAAGTCATGAAAACCCTGGTCTGGAGCATGCATGGTATAAATGGCAGGAGAAGGTATTCAAAGAAATGGAGATGAAGAGCCTTGAGTGCTGAATAAGAGCTTGCAATTCTGGCAAATATTTTTCTAAGTCTAGTAGGGACTCAGGAAAATGGATACTTTTATTCACGAGAGAAAATTTGAATTATTACAATCTTTTTAAAAAGCATTTTGGCAACATCTGAAATAAAATTACAAATGTACTTACATTTGGCCAAGAAAAAGTTTTTAATCAGTCTCACATAATACTTGCCAATTTAACATTTTCTAATATAGTTTTGATGACTTAGGAAATGATGAAAAGGTGCAGTGATAGTTCTTTAAGTATCCGTTTAAATGTATGTTTAGAGGTGAAAACAACTGGGCTAAGCTCTAAAAAGGAGCTCTGATAGCATAGTGCCTAAGGCACTTGACTGCTAACCAGAAGGCTGGCGGTTCAAACCCACCAGCCACTCCTCGGAAGGAAGGTTGGGCAATCCTA